CCTTACCTCAGCACTCTTGCGCATAGGAAGCGTATCGAGCTAGTTAAAAGTCCAACAGAGCTCGGTCATTAACATTGTGCCGAAACGTTTACAAACCACACGAAGCGACATAGAGTGCTGAGTTACGTTAGTTCTCCATAAACTTCTCATAATGGTCAGCATCAACTGGGCCTTGCCGGAGATCGAATCCGGGGCTTTCGCACCGTGAGCGAAAAACGTACCACTCAGTCACGAGGCCATTAACGACACAAAGTGCTGAGGCGGCGAATCGAATCGAATCGAATGTTGTGTACCGATATTGAAAATTCCTCGCAAAAGCAGACAAGCGTACTTATTGAAGTCTACACTGCTTAAGACTCATGGACTCTATCCGACCCGAAATTGACGAAACTTTGGCTGGATCAGCTAATTTGGGTGAGCTATCAGCGTGCAACTACTTAGAACAGTTGATCACGTCAATCGGCGGGTCGACAAAATTATCGATACATGTGCATGAGCTTGATTGATTTTCTGGTCACTAGTTCAAAAGCGATTCATGGGGTAAAGTATGTGCTGTCAGTGCAACGTAACAACAGGAAGCGGACACGTGGCAAAGTCGTCGCTAGCGTACAGAGAAAGAATTTGCAGATCAGACGTCACGACTTGGATGGATTGGAAGAAGACATTGTCTTTTGAACTAACAGACAGCTTTGCCATGTGAGGAGTTTAAGACCTGACGCTAGTCCGAAACGGTACAAGAGCAGGTGGAGCGGAATATCATCAAAAGTATGCAGAAGTAGCAGCCTTCGAATACGAATAAGCAAACAGCTTTTCCTGGTCATGCTTCGTATATGCCAGTGCTTTGTTAACGAAGTCTCCACTACCTCTTGAACAATTTTGCTCTGAACTTGTATCACCTTGAGTGAAGTTTATTGAAGATGCGCTCGATGCTGGATAAACTTTGCTGCATCACTCAATGTCGTTTCAAGAGGTGATCTGAAAGGCTAGATTGATGCCTAACTAGTCGATCGCTGTTGCTATGATAGTGTTGCATTCTCGCGCTGCAGGCGATATTCAGGCGATCCCACATAATGCCCTTTTCCTCTTATATTTCTTGAACGATCGTGCTGCGACTCGCAATCTTGTTTTGTGTTGGTACGTTGGAGATCTTTTAAGGTATTCTTGGTCGTAAATGTCAAAGTTTTCAAGTTGTGGATAACTTGCAATCAGGAGGGGGACTATCAATGCCTTTGACGTGGAGATGTGGTGCACTCGCCATAATGTCAATAATCACTTCAAAGCAACATTGTACATCGTATCTCTACTTCTGATGGGTGATGATTTCGTAGTTAAAACAAGAGATTTGATGAATTTGCTGTATTTTCTGCTTCAATGTCGATGACATTTTGCAACTGATAGCATGATTTTATCAGGTTTCAGCAATTACGAATATTGTTACACCTTCAGGTGACTATGAGCCCGTCGCTCGCGTACAGCACCGGCCAGGTCGCGCAGTACGTCAACAGTGGTTTCCCAGCCCATGCAAGCATCAGTTACGCTCTTGCCATACACAAGAGGCTGTCCTGGGGTAAGCGATTGATTTCCTTCCTCAATGTTCGACTCCAACATCACGCCAATGATACGGTCGTCACCGGCGCGCAATTGGTTTGCAATGTTGCCCGCTACCTTCACTTGATTCTTGTGTTTCTTTTGCGAATTGCCATGCGAACAGTCAATCATGACATTGTCCACTAAATTTGCCTTACGCATAAGAGTACACGCGTCATCCACGTGCTCCTTTTCAAAATTTGGTCCCGACTTGCCACCACGGAGGATTAAATGGCACGTGTCGTTGCCGGATGTATTAACTATCGCGGCCAGACCTTGCGAGCTGACGCTCAAAAAACAGTGCCGATGTTTAGCGGCTACAACAGCATCCACGGCCATTTGCAAATCTCCACCCGTGCCATTCTTGAAACCAATAGGCATTGACAGACCTGAGCTCAATTCGCGATGTAGCTGGCACTCGGTGGTACGGGCTCCAATGGCACCCCAGCTAACCAAGTCCGAGATGAATTGCGGTGACATGGTGTCTAAGAACTCACAGCCAGCCTATCATTATGGCATAAACAGTGTTCAGTCCTAGATCATGAAGAAAATACGTTTGAGCTTACAGGCAGGCCTAGCTCATTGATGGCAGCCAGCAATTCACGCGCGATTCGCAGACCCTTGTTGATATTAAATGATCCATTAAGATCCGGGTCATTAATCAGACCTTTCCAGCCGACCGTCGTGCGAGGCTTCTCGAAATATACGCGCATTACAATGAGAAGGTCTTCGTTTAACTCTTTCTTGAGCTCCATCAAGCGCTTGGCTGCACAGTGTGACCCATACCGTCAAAGTAAAAACAACACTTAGCTTATATCCCCCATGGAAACGTGAGTATTGATTCGTTACCGTAGTCCATGGCAGCGTCCGTATCATGAATAGAGCAAGGGCCTACGACCACCACAAGGCGGTCATCCAGACGGCGTAGGCAATTTGCCAAGTCCTGGCGACCACGATTAATCTGTAGTAACGGACAATAAGCCAATTGTCACTATCATTTAAAGTCCATATTGTTACAGGTCAGCCTACCGTCTGCACAATTTTAGTGGTAAGTGGAATTTCCTCAAGCAAAATTGCCGGCGGGATGAGCGGCCGAATTCCTGAGATACGCACGTCCATAATGGCCTTCTTGTCCGAGATTTTTACGTCTTCGCTGGCGGTGCCGCTGGGTATGCGCAGTCGACGTTTTCGCTCTTGGTCAACTGAAGTGCTCCTACGCTTTTCTTGAGATGCATTCTCCACCTGCTGCGGAATCTGGCGGCCAAGCATGAAGCCCACGAGACCCGCGCTACCTGCTGTAATAAGCGTCATGGAAGTTGCCAGCAGGCCGACACCCAGGGCCAAAGAGGTCGACATTTTGCTATCATGTCCAGTCATTGCAAGTTAAGCTCTAAAATGCAAATGATTCGGTTGGTGTGCAAAGAAATATTTTTTTACAGTATATTATTCATGTATCGTCGTGTCAAGAGAGAATTTTGAAGCCGAGCAGATCTGTCTGCGGCAGACGAAAGCTCTCAATTGGTGGCATCATGCATTCGTACAGCCTATAATGCAGACGAGCTCAATTAAGCGGCGCGAGCAGTGCCCCTCGCATTTCGGACCTGTAGAATTTGGAAAGCTCGAGAACAATAAAATTGGATTTGGACGATCCCCGCGTACTATCGAATGCAGATGAATGTCCGCTAATATTGCTACAGTACTTAAAGTATCACAGCATGCTGTCAAATTATTTAGTCAAAAGCAGCATTTCAAGACATGCTCGTCATATAAAATTCATCTCCACACTCCGCCGAAATCAGTCATGTGAAAGAAAATGTCAAATTCAGGAACATGAGATCGAGCTTCTTATAGTAAATGCAGAGATTGTAATGAAAATCTGCACAATTTGTGAAGAAAACATACAAACGAGTGCTGCGCAGACTACTAATGTAGTACTATTGGAAAGTCAGAATTACCGAGCTGCAACGATTGTCGTGTACCTTGCACAGAGGAAGGGGAGACTCAAATAAGTAAACAATGTACAAAGTTTGTGTCAGTAGGTTCCGTAAGCGATCTTTTAGGAGCTCAAGAGCTATGTTTAATTTTTTTCATCTCAAACTGGTACAAAATATATACTTTTACTATATCCGATATTAGAGCTGTCTGTGTTCGTTTGACGTGAGACTAAGTACCACGGACCTCTGCTTTACGGAACTCCATCATGTTCATAAATGCGGATACTAGGTGAACATCTGACAATTCAACGGAAGTGAAAGGTGTACGTGCACAATAGTAAAGTATATCCAAGATTTTCGTCGTACAACCGGTACCATTCTGGAGCAAATCTCAGATGCTCTCTGAGGGACGCTATCGCACTGAATGCCCTAGGGTTTCTGATCGGACCAGCACCATATCACAGCACCAATCTAGATGTAGTTCAGCAATGGAGACGTTGCTTCGTGTCCAACAAAGCGCATCAAAGCCGACTGGCTCGTAGGAGCTGAACCAGGATACGGCTGTTGCATGTCCGTGTATGACGCGGAATTCATTTCATTCGGATGTCAGGAGTGTCACTCAACCCCTTTTTTGCTTGCTACGTCTGGAGCGGTGCGATAAAGCGTGAACGTAATTAAGTCATGTAATTCACAGGCACTACATGTAAGTAAGCCAACAGCAATAACAAGACCTTTTCCTATATTCCATTATCCTGTATGTTTTGCTCGCCTCTAGCATCGGCATGTTGCTTTCGAATATTCTGGCTTTAAATTATAGCATGCGTGCTGGAGCATGGTGCCCCATCTCATCAAAATATAATTTGATTTCTTGCTACGAGGTGTAGCTGGGCTGATATTAGCGAGTTGATCTGTATCCACAGCTCATCCCTCACCATAACGAGGCCACCTCAAATTGATTTCAAAGGAACACAGCGGTTCATCAGACCGCTACAATATATATGTTCGGACTGTAAGTGCATATTCAACGCAAAAGAAATGGATTCGAGCAGCTCGCTTCAGCACCGCGGTCTCCCGTGCAACTGCTCTAAAGAATTTTCTCCACAGCGCGATATCAGAGTTACGTCAGAACATCTGTAAGCACATGCAAAGCGGCTGATATGTCCCGTTTGGTGCGTAGCACTCTAAGCTAAGTCTGTCAAAGCTTTGCCGTAAACACAGATATCGATCTGACACAAAGGCAACCGGCACTCCATATCGAAGGACAGCTAGGCTAGTTTCTCGCCGGGAACGATGTTGCTAAAAAGGCTCAATGAGTCATCGTGCTCAGGTGGCCCACAGACACTACAGTATCGATATCACAGACGCGTCTTACGAAATATTAAAAATAAAGCACATACTATGGGCTATTAAAACTCTGCCAAAACCAGCATGCTGACCAAAGACGGCAACACAGGCGGCGAATTTTACTCCCTGACGTTTCCAAACGGGTATGTACATTCTCGCCCAATTGGAGATTTAGACCACAACAACATAGTGCTCACTAAGGATACGACTTTTTGCTTCTGAGTGGTCCCGCAAAGGGGTATCATGTTGCCGCGTACAGTATTATAAACTCATGGTCTTTATCATGAGTACCACGTCGAATTTCAGACGAGTCAGTGCTGTTATACACCAGATGATAGGGTGAGGAAAAGAACGGTACTTTTTCTGATCTCCGGATACGTTGCTCCCTAGCGCTTTCGAGATCTCAATACATGTTACAACAGGTCGTTTCGATGTATGTATTGCCTCATTAATGGGCTACTTCACCATCCTGACATACTCAGCCGAGCTGGAGAGCCATCTTGCCATTCTTTGTGAGAGATGTGGTGACGATGTTGCTGTGGGCAACGACGCATGATGTGTCAGATCACAAAAGGCTAAGAGAAATTTAAGCGCACCTTGAACTCGAAGAGGGCAAACCCTATTGCGAAGAGCTCTTTGTCGCAACCAGATGGTCATTTTCTGCTGATTGAGCACTCTTAGATGATTATGCGTCTTGCAGGTTGATAGCTGCTAGAAAGAAAGTATATGCAGTGGGGCTGTCGTGACTTTTTCGCTTAGAGGAAGCTTGGCTAAGGTCGGCGACCTTTGTTCTATACTTAGAATCAGTACGATTGTAGCAGATTGCAATGCACTTACTCCAAGATTTATTACAACCGTATATTAAGGATTTATAACTCTTCCATTCAAAACGTATATTGTACGTAAAAGCCGCCTATATCTAAATCTATACGTTTTTATCAATGTAGCAAAACCTAATTGATTTTATAACTTCTAGCAGTCCAACCACAGACTGACTTCTTGTTTAAGTTTAGCCACACCATTGTGTGGTCACACTATCTTGGTTAACCTGCATCATTTTGCGATCACAACATCTCGTGTGACCCACACCCTTCACACCAGGGCACGTGAAATTCCGTGACACTCTCCCCCATCAATATTGTGGACATCTACTGTTCAAACTCAGCTGTCGCCTCGAACGAGGTTCGAGGGTCTAAAACACCATAACATCGCCAGGACCTTTTTCACGAATTCTCTGCTTGATGAGCCCTGTGTCGAGGATACGGAAGACACCCAGCCTCGCTGATTCCGAGAACAGCACGTCCACGGCTACAAAGAAAGCACAGCCCAAGCTCTCGGTAACCGAGTACCGCGCTGCGCATTGTCAGCGACAGGGTCGCTCGACCAAGAACACAGCGGCGATGTCTAGTCCCGACCGCACCGCATGAGTTACCTCGTCGAGGATTTGGAGGGAGTCGACTACAAGTCGGATACTCCTTTCCCAGGATGGGAAGAAGAGGGGGGCGAGGTGCTCTCAGCGGTGCGACGTGGGCCCTGCTCGAACCTTGCGGGCGCCGTATACTTCCGGGAAAAGTGGTGCTATTACTAATGACCACAACGAGGCTCAGAATCTGCTGGTCGTAGGGTGGCTCTCACGCGCGCGCATCCAGGGTCGGTCCTTGACCCTCGTGTGGAATTCGGCTCACGCTCGGTTGATCTTGCTACGGAAGCGGAGGACTGGATCACTCGATCGTTGAGCGTCTACGTTTTCGCCCCCCCCCCGCCACTACACAAGCTGAGCCTGACGATCAAAAAGCTCTCCGAGCACGCTTCTTGGTTTCTCAAGAAATCCCTGTGGATACGTACCGCACTCGACATCGTGCTCAAATAGGAGGCGCTCCTGTACACGCGATGCCGATGATTCCTGTCGTGCTCGCCCCTGGCGAAACCGCATCAAATAACGAAAATATCTTTGGGCGGTGGGTGCGGCGGCCGAAAACTTTCCTCGCGGTACAGCTTACAGCTGAGCCACAAAGAGGTGGACGCGCGCATGAAATGCCATCTTAGGTATGATTTTGCCAAACTCAAGGCGAGTCGCCGACTTCCTTCGGATTGTAGCCCTGTGACGTATGGGTTGATCCGTCACAATCTCGCAAGATTTGTGGTCTCTCACACGGGTAAGTCTGCGACTGCAGTAGCTCAGGTCCATGTTGGAATGTGGATGGTATCCAGATCCGTTTTCCAGCACACCTTCCTCGAAGCCCTCAGCTTCGATTGCCATGCGGCTGGTACATCATCCCCGTTATACCACACAGCTTGTCAAGTCAAACCTTATCGAGTGGCTTGGTGAACGCATCGACCGGGTTGTCTTCTCCCTTTATCTCCACGAGCTTAATAAGACTACGCTGCATCTGGTCACGCACAAAGTGCCATCGCAGCTCGATGTGACGCGTGCGCCGCGTATAATTTAAGCGGTAGCCATCACGTGTGCCGCACTATTGTCGATACCAATGACCGGTCGCACATGCATAGACGGGAATAACTCAGACAGGATATTGAACCGCGCTTACGCTTCCATAGCAGCTTCCATAGCAGCTTCCATAGCAGCTTCCATGCAGCCACATACTCAGCCTCAGCCGTGGATTGAGCCACAATCGACTGACGCTCGGACATCCATGTCATCGCTCCACTCGCCAGCATAAAGACGAATCCGCCTGTGATCTTCCTGGTCTCGGGGTCACTATTACTATCATAGAATCCGCTCAGGGTCAGCTCCGTACGGGCCCTAGATATCTTCTTTGACATAATACCGTGCGCCTGAGTGCCCACAAAGTATCGTAAGACGTGCTTGAGCGTTGCCACATGCTTCACAGTCGGGTTCACAACGAATATACACAACTGGCCGAGTGCAAATGCTAGATCCGGCCTGGTTTCGGTCGCGAAATACATGAGCATGCCAAGTGCTTTCCGGTAGTCAAAGCTGGAGTCGATGCTGTCGTCCTCCGTAGCTGGTGCGAGTCTCGTGGAAGACTCCATGGGTTCCCAGACTTGCTCGCTCCGGCAAAGCCGAGCTTGTACAACACGTCCTTTGCGTATTTC